ATGATGTCGCTATTTTTTCTACGAAATGGAAGGAACACTTGGAGCATGTGACAGAGGTTTTAGAGACATTTCGTTGGCCTCGACTAAAATTCAAGCCATCTAAGAGTAAGCTCGCTCAAGATAGCGCGTAGTATCTTGGACACAAAGTTGGAAGTGGAATTAGATCTCCATCCCGAAGCTAAAGTAAAAGTTGCATACAGAACTTCCCGAGACCCACGACAAAGACCCAAATGCATGAAGTTCTTAGGCCTCACCAGCTAGTATAGCCGTTATGTGAAAAATTACACTAAGATAAAAGCTTCACTAACAAACACCTTGCAGGAAAAGCTAAGATGGGCGAGACTTCCTGGGTCGAAAACTGTGGGAGAGCATTTACAAATTTAAAATGCAAGTTAATGAGTCAAGCAACGCTTCATTCGCCCGATTTTGAGAAAGAACTTGTAGTTCAACGGGACGCAGAAGTTGTCCTACCACAAGGTATCACTGATCAACACCCTGTGCTTTAATCTTAGTAAGAAATTCAGTTCTTTAAATGTAAATATTGTGTTGCAAAATCTTACGAATTTTATATTTTGTGATGCGAATTTTATTTTTTCCTTCCGTGATAAAATTACTGTCCTATTTATAATTATGTGTCCGCATATATTTTCTTCGTATAGGAGAGAAAGGAAAAGTGACAGTACTTTGCGAGATCTATCATTTCAAGTGCAATACCTCAGAAATTTTTAATTAATTTCTGTGCAATGCCTGTCCTTTGTGCAAGAGAACAGATGATCACACAAAACAGATGATCTAAAGGCCAAATTAATAGCTTTTAACTAAGATATCTCACTTCTGCTTATATTGTAGCAAAAAGAAAGATAAATTATGTTACAGAATGTGTTTTTTAACCTTTCTTAATTTAATTTTTAATTGCATTGTACCACAGGCCATTCACATTAAAATGTAATTACAATACACAATTTTATTATAAAATGCATACCAGCGACCGAGCTGTAAAACCGCTGACTATTGGTGGTTCGATTCCAGGCGAACGGGCTTTTCGTAGTTTTCCCCATGTGTAACATTGTCTGCAAGCCAGCTTCCCTTAAAAATTCCTCCACGAAGGCGTTCTTCCCCTTAGGCAGATAGTCCTAGCGTGCTTTGTCATAATCAATTTAACCAAACCAATTAAAGCCCTTCATGTATTAGTTGTATAGCAAAGGAAGAACCACGAAGATAAAAATGAAGGTATATTTTACTTTTCTTATATAATATGGGGTTATGCTAAGGCGTGAAAGAGTCCCAAAGACAGTATTGCACCACATAAAATTGACAAATTTTTAATCTGGAATGACTCAGGCCTTAAGTTCTCTCTGAGTTTTGAGCTATCCGAAGCAGTTTTAGTCGTATTAACGTAATTCCACTGTATTTGTCAAGAAAACATTATAGGCATTTCGTTGCGCTATAAAGGAAATAAAATAAAAAACCTGTGACTTAGATAGTTTACGAAGTAGGAAATCATAATTTTATGTGCGAAAGGAGACTCAAACCTTTTCTTTTTACATTTAATTAATTACATACAGCTTTTATACAGTCATAAAAACGCCAATATTAACATACAAAGTTTTATAGAAATAAGCAACGCTTAATTAATTACATACAGCTTTTATACAGTCATAAAAACGCCAATATTAACATACAAAGTTTTATAGAAATAAGCAACGCTTACAACTATTCATGACTTCATTCCTCTTTTCTTTAAGAACTCTTTTAAACTTCATTTACCGCTAAAAATAAAAGTTCAGGTCATTTCAGTCTGGCATTTCTAAAACCTATCTAAGTAATAAAGTTCGCCAATTAACACTAACATTGTAAACTTTCGAAGATTATGTTCATTTTCTAACAGTTAAATTTTTAAGGTCTTGTATTTTCATAATCTACCTGGTTTTCTTTGCTATAATTCGTCCCTTTTAGAAGCTTTGTATAAATATTATTTAAATAAAAAATACGTTTAACCATTTCAGCTTCATAGAAATAAGCAAATGCAAATGCAAAATAAAAAGAAGCAAATGCTTATTTTATCAGCTTATGCTGATAAAATAAGCATTTGCTTCTTTTTAGAGGTTACTTCTGCTTTGCTATCTGATTAATTTTGAGAGCATTTTAGGGGTATGTGGAAGCCGAAATTAGAGAATTAGCACTTAAATGCATGATGTTGTGTTTGTTGCTATTTTGATGTATTCAAGGTTTTAAAATTGTTTGAACGAGTTTATAAGGTATGTATTATTACATAAAATTGTTATTACACATTTGCCTATCATATTTTTGTGTAAAAGTTAACACTTTTTCAAAAATTGGAATAAAAACTTAGTTTAGATTTTTTAATATTTTTCTTATTTTAATTGATATTAGTTCTAATGTATTTTTGACTTTAAAATTAAAAATAAAAATTCATGCATTTAAGGGTTAGAACACTTCAAAGTGTCTAGTTGACTTGTAATTAGGAAGGCATTATCTTTATTCAGTTAGGTTATAAGTTCTCTTCTACTAACGATGACTCCTTTATCAAAACCTAACAGCCTAGTTTAACTGCTTAAGCTAGGTCTTTAGCTTAAGATTAGAGCAACAAACAGTAAATTTAAGTTTAAAATCGCCAGTAAACGCTGGAAATGTAATTTCAATTAAGAATATTCTGAACTATTTTATGCATATGTAATATACAAAACGGAAACAAAAACGTGAAACGCAGTGTCATGTTATTAAATATTTCTTCACTCAGCATTACTTTATGTCTTCTGGGGCTATATAAAAGAATATTTATAGATAAATAGCAATATAAGAGACATTTTTATTCTGACAGCGCAGGTTTCATTTTTAAATAAAAATCACTGTCTAGCGTTTTACAGCAGATTTGAAATTAATAATAATAATATAAAAAAATTACGTGAAAATCCTTACGAATGTTTCAGACTTCTTGTTTGAGAAAAATGTCTTTCTTTGATTGCTGATATGATCTTAGGTCACCAGGCATTTTCCCACTGCTTTTTCAATGCCCTATGCAACCTACTGTTATTTAACTATCGTATTGTTCAGCACTTTGTTAAGAATGAATTTCACATTACATCTCCATTTTTCATTTCAATGCTTTCAATTGCTACCAATAATACCGAAGTTTCCTAGCACTGACCTTGACCCACACTAGGAAGACTTATAAGAAAGCAGACATACAAAAGAGAAATCTTGACATCTTTTAGCACCCCTTCGTCCCAATGCCGGGCCCCTTAGCTCGCGTGGAAAAATCAGCTGAAAATGACAGGGAGTGTTTATAACAGACTCAGTTATCTAATCTCGTTTAAAAACGGCTGAATACTGAACATCATTCCATCCTAATATTATTGAACCTCCGTTTACGAAAGTAAATGTGCTTATCATTGCAAATATTAGATTTCATGTTGTCTATCACGTGGGTTTTCTTATTTTAAAGGGTACTGAACAGAGTTTTTAGAAAAGGTTTTTCTAAAATGCCCAATGTTTAACCTTCCTCGGAAAAAGTTATTTCCCATGATGCCAGAAATAATTGAATATGTGCAGAAAAATTAATTACATATGTTTACAGATGATACATTTACTTTAGTAATTTTAAAATTCAGCAGCTTATAGCAACGAACGACTGAAATTCTGTATTATTTCGTAAAAGAGTTCAAGTAAATTTCCTAAAATTAAAAAGTGGGGAAAATAACAAAAACTTAACTATCCTTTAAAAAATAAATGTTTTGCAGATTGATGTTTCACAGATAAAGGTTTTAGCACTGAGACTAGGTCCCAGTTTTCCTAAGTTATCCCATTGTAAAACTGGATAAAAGGAACAGTACATAGTTCGCATAGTTCTTTCGTCACGTTTTATTACTAGACCAAAAAATTGATATATATATAAAATAATCATTAGGACGCTCTTGTGAAGAACAAATTAAGTTAGGAAAGATCTGAACACCTGTTATAGAAGACTCTTTCTGTAAACGAATACAGCTCGCTGGAATAATTTTCGGCGTGAATCTATTAAATACTATTTCCAGTTGGTTGAATTATCGAAAGTTTTCCTTTTATTTTTATTTTTCTTTCTTTCTTTTTTTTTTAGTCCAAAAGGGCTTTGTCCCTGAGGGACTATTGTTTTCGTTTTGCGATTTTGCGACGAATCACTCTGGAATGTCCGTTTCACTTTTCAAACTGTTGCCACCAAATATTATCGCCCTGTATTATATTTGAAGAAATTAAATAATGAAAAATCTGTATAAATGTATGTATATTTCTCGCATTGTGATAAAATAAAGGCACATAGATCCATCGAATTTTGAATGACGTAATCCTCCTACGAATATGGGCATGTGGAAGACCAAATTTGAAATTTGGAATTTGTTTTATTATCGATTTCCTATTTTGTAAAAACTTTAACGAATTTTTGATTAACAAAATTCAAGGATTTCAAAGCGAGCAAATGGCAACGTTGTACGAAAAAAAAAAACATTTTTATCTCCAGCGCATGAGTCTCTGTATCGGAAATTCTAAAGATATGCTCAACTTTAAAATTATTTTGCGATATTGCTGTTTGAACTGAATTTTTATGGTTTAAGTGCGAAGACATGATATTTAATAAATAAATAAAGGTAAAACACACAAAACGTTAAAAAAACGTAATTTAAAATCTGAAACCTTTAGATTTTCTTTTTTATAGTTCCCCCCCCCGATTTTTTTTTTTTTTTTTTTTTTAAACTAGATAAAATACTAAATATTTTCACAAAAAGTGTAAATTACACAAATATAATTTTAGATCGGATAGCTGCTAGCGACTTATTCTCCAGTATCATGTTAATACTAGATTATGCAGATTCTTCTACTCGCATTATATTGCCTTTGAGTTTTAACTTCTGGGAATTTCAAAAATGTGCTAAACTTGGATGATATAAAAACAGTAAAGTAAATCATCAAACTAACATTCCTTTTTACTCACCTTTATTGTAAAGATCAATCCCGATTCTGAAGGAGCGAAAGCTGATGATCCAGAACTCAGAATGGACCTACTATACGAAACCTATGACAGTCTGAACGAAGTGGTAAGCATCTTTTCATACGAGATTTTAAACTATATTACTTAGCATTGGAATTACTCCATTTCATTAATTCTACAAAAAAATATTATAGCTTTATAATGGTGTATTTACGTCTGCTAAATGCTTGTATTGGGTACAACAAAAGGAAACATTTTATGCATTGGCTGTCGGCATCTGTTTCATCATGAATTCAGATTGCCTTTTCAAAAGAAGAGTCTGAAGTTCGCTGTTGAAGGAAAGCGGCTCAAAACAGTTTGCTGAATAACAAGCAATACGTTGGTGTGCAATCTGCTAATATGGCAATGCATAACATCCAACAGATATCGACAGATTCTTTATCTGGCAATTGCCTTATCAAGCATCTAGAAAAATTCGTGCCGCTGGAACGAAGAGGGAAATACAAAGAAAAGTTGTCGGACGCACTGTAGCGATGACTTAAAATGTTGATGCTCCCCTCAACTGCCAGTGCAGAGTTGTGAGGCTTGTCGGTTGTGTCGAAGGCAGCTCTGAGGGAACTTCAATCTTGAAGTGAACATGTCACTGTCGAAGGATGATTTAAGACCGTCCTCTGAGAGATCAAATTGGGCAGTTGTGCTGCGGAATTTGTCGGAATTGGAGAGCCGTCAACGAGTGATCACACTTTGCGACAGCAGTTCAGTCGATTTGTATCGGGAGACAGAACCTCAAGAACAAGCCTCGAACTGGACGTCCATCCACTATCGACGAAGCCCTGCTGAAGGAGGACATCCAGCATAATCCCTATCAAACTTACAAGAAACTTCCATAACAGTTTGGAGTGCCGGAGGAAACCATTCGATTCCATTTGCATAACCTTGGGAAGGTATGGAAGCTCAGTAATTGGGTTCTTCACGTTTCGATCGTGGAAACCAAAATCATCTAATAATGCTGAGGGCACCACAAAGTTCTCTCCTTCCATAGCGTGCATTCTGAGTCTTTCCTCTCCTTTAATTTTAAAGTTTCTCAGTTTTTTTTTTTTTTTTTTTTTTTTTTTCTGGTCACGGTAAATTTGCAAGTTACCTGTTTCATTTCAATCCAAGATCAAACAGTTTATGTGAATGTTCGAAAAAAGTACTTCGACCTGGAACATTTGATTTTTTCATACCCTAGCTTTGATGGCCCAAGAGCCTAGATTATGTTTTCGAAACGATTTAAAAATGTTCGGCGTGACAAACGAACGAAAACTTAGAACCAGTGAACTGTCTTAGAAAACGAAACTTAGAACCAGCGAACTGTCTTAGAAAACGAAACTTAGAACCAGTGAACTTACCTTTTCTTTAAGTCCAGACTGCTATTCTCTGTTTTTGTTCGTTTCATTTATGCATGCAATATTTTATGTTTTAGTTAACTTACTTTTGTAAGCCCCGTGTTGTACGTCTGTGGTGAACGAGGAGATTTGTATGTGTTCAAGTAAAAAAAAATTACAAGTTGGCTAAATTTGCATTCTGATAAGGAAACGGAAAGAGAGAAGCGTAAAATTGTAGGGTCATTAGGTTATTTTGAATGCAGGAGACATGGAAAATGTGCAATGCCCTCACCAGAACTTGAACCTGGACCTCTGAAATACGCGCTCAGTATGCTGCTGCCGTTACACCACGAAGGCATGGTGGAAGGAGTGAGAAAGTTTTTCATATACCTCCTTTTAAATGGAGACTGGGGATTAAAGGACCCAATCGCCAAATCCTCGTGGTGACAAATTATTATTCACCATCCTTTTAAGGATGGTGAATAATAATAGGGCGACAACACTGTAGAGTCATTAAGCTATTTTGAATGCAGGAGACGTGAAAAATGTACAGTGTCCTCGCCGGGACTCGAACCTGAACTCTCGAATACGCACCGAGTGTACTACGGTTACACCAAGAAGGCATGCTAAAAGGAGGAAGAAAATACGTTAAAAAGTAACAGGTTAATTAACATAAATAAACATTACAATTTAATTAATTCCAACGCAATATTTTTCGTTATGCATGTTTCATTTCCCTATGATAACACAAATCGCCCACATTGTTTTCAGTTTAAATTTCAATCTGATTCGCTTAATCTGTTTGCAGCCTTCTTATATTAGCAAAGCAGCTCTGAAAGCTACCATTGGAGCAGTCCTTGCAACAAATATCAGGTACGTTGACCTATTTTTCTTCTTTTTTGTTATTCTGAAACTTAATTTTGTTATATTAGAGATTTCTTAATTAATAAATTTAGAGGAAACGAACTGTCATTTTTATTAAAAGCTAGTAAATCTAAACCTTTATCTGCAGCACTGTCAAAATATTGAAAATGTGCAAATGCTATATTACGAAAAGCTTACTTATTTAGTACCACAGAGTTTTGTTTTCTCGGTAATAAAACACTATTTATATTTATATTAAACGCCTCATCCTAATATGAAACCGTTTACTGTTATCCATTACGTTTGCTCACTGGAGAAAATGTCGTGAGTCGTGACTAACAATTAACACTAAAAACACAGAAAATATATAGCCAAGAGAAAACATGCATTTTACTTTAAATTCCACAACTGAGAAGAAGCTTTCAAAAAAAGCCTTACAAATATTTAGTGGGTTTTTTTTTTTTTAGCGCCATAATCTTTCGCTGTTTATTTTAGCAACGAATTCAAACCTTGATATTAGTTCAGAAGTCAAACAACAAAAATCAGCGTTATATTTTCAAATTTCCACAGGACTAGTTTCGATGGTTTTATCGAACCACCCTCGTCAGCTGCAAAAGCGCAAATTTGATATTAGGTTTAGATACAAGGCTGTAGAGACTATTAGGTATTTCGGGAGCGAGAAACGCAAAAATTTTTTTGTGCCCTTGCCGGCATTTGAATCATTGATCTTCCCTTTACTAGATAAATGCACTAATCATTTACATTACGAGAGCATACATGGGAAATTATATAATTTTTCACCCTCTCCTCCATTTAAAGGACGACTGGTTACAGCATAAGGCCCCATGGTTGACGACTAATTATTGTCAACCGCATTTTAGTTCAGGTTTCACTCTAGAGATTATTAGGATTTCCGACGCAAGAAACATAAAAAATCAACTGTGTTAGAATAGAGATTCGAGTCACGGATCATTCAGCTGCTCATATATGTGCTACATATGCATATATATGTGCTAATCATTTACACCACGAGAACGCGTGTGGGTGAATGCAAAAGTGTCTTGCTTTCTTTCCCACGTAAAAGGTATCTAAGAAAAGGCACAAGAGCCATTCAACAAAATCCAAGTGGTAACAAGCTGTCGTCTATTATATTTTTAGTTTGTGGCAAAAACTGTACAGATTATTATATTTCGGGAGCGAGAAACCTGAAATATCAACTATCCTCGCTAGGCATCCAACCTTCTATGCCCCATTTGATTGAAAGAGTGTTTGAGATACTAGCTGAATTTGCGGTTAAAAGTTAGTTACAAATAGTTCCACTATGTCTAAGGAAGAGGATTATGTACGGTTATTAATATACACACGCGTATGACCGAGTATAAGTTCTCACATAAATTGAATTGGACTATTCAATTAACGGCAAAGACAAAAGGGATAGACTTAAGCTTCTTCATTTCAATTTTTATTAAAAACATTTCCACGGATGAAATTCAGTGGACTTCGGTCCCTCTTTCCCCTGCCGTCCTGGGCGGGTTGTAAGTATGCCTATCTTTAAGATACTTCAAACCTAAACATTTATGCAGCGTGGCAGCCAGCTTCCACTAAACACCATAGCGGCTAGTTGGCACAGGAAAAAAGAAATCTGCCTCTGTTCTTAGAAAATCTACATCTGTTCTGGCGTAAGCCAGAGACGTATACACGTGAAATAACTATTTTCTCGGCGTATATTTTAATTACGTTGGATACGTTTCATCTAGACATCTTGTATATATGTGACGAGCTTGGAAATTTATCTTTAATTATGTTTACTTTTTAAACAGAGATTTTACCGAAAAAATAAACGCCGAAGATTTTTTAGTATATAAAATATTTATAAAAATTGATTACAGCTGGGAATCCACTATGTCTAAGGAAGAGGATTATGTACGGTTATTAATATACACACGCGTATGACCGAGTATAAGTTGTCACATAAATTGAATTGGATTATTCAATTAACGGCAAAGACAAAAGGGATAGACTTAAGCTTCTTCATTTCAATTTTTATTAAAAACATTTCCACGGATGAAATCCAGTGGATTTCGGTCCCTCTTTTCCCTGCCGTCCTGGGCGGGTTGTAAGTATGCCTATATTTTTCAAGATACTTCAAACATAAACATTTATGCAGCGTGGCAGCCAGCTTCCACTAAACACCATAGCGGCTAGTTGGCACAGGAAAAAAGAAATCTGCCTCTGTTCTTAGAAAATCTACATCTGTACGCCAGAACCGTATACACGTGAAATAACTATTTTCTCGGTGTATATTTTAATTGCGTTGGATAAGTTTCATCTAGACATCTTGTACATATGTGACGAGCTTGGAAATTTATCTTTAATTATGTTTAGTTTTTAAACAGAGATTTTACCGGAAAAATAAACGCCGAAGATTTTTTTAGTATATAAAATATTTATAAAAATTGGTTACAGCTGGGAATAACTGAAAACCCTTCTTAAAAAATTACGCTTTTTCCAGGTTTTTTTTTTTTTATTATTATTTATTTAAGGCTTATTATTATTTGATGGCTGTAATAATTTTTTAAAATTTACCTAATAAAATAATTTAGGTAAAAAATGTCTCAGAACAAAATTACTGAAAGACAAAAATTATTTCTAGTAAAAACAGGCGTAACAAAGATGTTAACTCTTCTTCTATTCGAAACAAAACTGGATAAAATTATGAAGAAATAAATTTTGGGTAATCTGAAATATATATGATAATTAGCAAAAAGACGTAGCATAGCCTTTTAAAGATATTAGATTAAGGACGGAAAATAGCTAATCTTAGTAAAAGCAAACTACTGCCTTTTCTATTGCAGAGACATTAGGTTATTTCGAAGCAGGAGAGATGAAAAGTAAGCAATCCCCTCGTCAGGACTCGAACCACGGACCTCTTGAATGCGTGCTGAGTGTACCTTCGTGATGTATGCGACGGGAGAAATACTTTACATACTCCTTCTGTTAAAGGGCGACGGAGAATTAGGCAACCCAATCGCCAAATCCTGGGGGTGGAGAATCATCATCCACCACCTTTTTTAGTTCGGGCGCCACTGTAGAGACATTAGGTATTTTTGAAAACAGGAGAGATGAAAAATGAGTAATGCCCTTGCGTACTCGGACCTCTCGAATACGCGCCGAGTGTGCTGAGCATTACACCACGAAGGCATGCTAAGAAGGCGGGAGAAATACGTTATACTGTTTCCAAATAGTCTGTATTTGTAACCCTGAGATTCCAATCACCGACTCTAATTTGTCACTGATTTTATTGGATGAATCCTTCACAAGCATGAACATAGTACTGCACATGATAAGTCATTTGAAAGCAGGTGATTGCTAGATTTCACTCTGATGAGAATTATTAAAAATTCTCCTAAGCTCTATAAAAATGAATTAAAAGTTACACTGAACAAAGGGTCTCATTCAAGAAATCATTAAACGCGAAATGCATGAAATGTTTTATAATTTACACCACGGATTTTTTTTTTTTAAAGCCAACGTGTGCGTTTACTTGATACTAACTTTAACTACACTTAGCGCATTGATCTCCGCTTTCTACTCAGTCTAAGGTGAAGGGTCCGAAATTTTTATTACGTATTTGTAGCCAATTTATAAATTACTCTGAAGAGAAACAGTACTAATGAGTAATTTATTTATTTCTATACATTGCTACCAACTCTCAGTATGTATCTAATCAGTGGTGAGCTATAAAAATTTTAACAAAACATTCGCACTTTATCTCATAAAGCGAAATAACAAATTCTTATTAAATGTTTAACATTTTATAAAAATATAAAATACGAACAATTGTGCATGAACAAAAAAATTTTAAATAAAATATATATACTATATATATATATATATATATATATATATAATATTATAGGCAATCACATAAAATATCAAGTAAATTTAGTATTGTGGTTCAATTTATGCTAGGAAGTCGCCCCACATTATTTTCTTCTTTCCCATCAGTTGATTTCTAGTAATTCCTTGAGATGACTTTTCAAAAAGGCTTTACATAAAATTTACGATTAAGTTTTCTTAAAGGGTTTTCCGTTTAGAGGAACTGTCATTAAATCTGAAATATGCTATATAACCAAAGAAGATTTTGCTGTGGAAAATCGTTCATCGCGCTGAAAGTTTGTTCAGTTGCAGCGCTGCTAATAGCAGCAGTCTTCATAAGGCTTCAGCTTCTTTTATAACACTAGGAATATTTCACTTTATGTTTTAATATGAAGTTAGATTGTTTGTCTTCTTTTGTGTTCTTTCGGTCATGGGCATGTTACTTCTACCATGTCTCAAGTCATGGATAACAAATACCGAAAATCGTTTTTAATTCTTCATCGTTGAGCTGAATAGTAAATATTTTCATTTTTTTATTTTATAATTATGTTGCTGCAATAATCTATTTTATAAAGACAATGCCAGGCAAATCAGTACATTTTCTTGAGTTACATTCATAAATTCATTCCCGCTTTCAGTGTTAATCTTTCAAATTACTTCTGAAGTAATATAGTATTAAGTTATTTGTTTTAATCCAACAAAAAAATTGAAAAAAGGTCTGAATTAATAAAGGGCTCAAAAGAGCCCCATATAGCTCACCACTGTATCTAATTCAATAACAAATAACTGAAGCTTAATACGTCTTTCAAACTGCAGGTTGAAACCGAAAGATGAAACGAAAGCTCTCTTTGCCTTATTGCAAGTGAGTCGCTGAATGAAATCTGTTATGTTATATGTAATTTAATTGAAATTTGAAAATTAAAAAGAGATATAATCCGATTTAAATTATTTCAGAATCCGTTATTCAGCAATCAGGCTTCTTATACCGTTTTTGCTCATCTTTTTCGAAGAATAGTAGGACTCAGTAGTGGAGATCATCAACTTCTGATAAACTGGTTTTCTAGGTATTGTATTTTTCTGATAATGCATTTTTACATGATATATTCATTGCATTTTTCGGCAACTTCTCAATGCTTTAGATTAATTTAAGCGAAATATATCACAATTTCATACGTTCTAATTTAACAGCGTAGTAATTTAACTCCCATTTCTTTTAAATTAAGACAATTAATTCATAAATTTTAAGAGTGATGAGTTTAAATAAATTTTGCAAAACCTTTTAAAAGTTGTGACTAGAAAACCGAAATTATTCGTAAAGAGTGTTACTAAAATTATCGTTTAAATAATCAAAACACTCGGATTAAGTCATGAGAAACATTTTAGAAAGATTTAATTTTTTTTCTACAAAACGTGTGGTAAAATAAAGTCTTTTGTAAGACTGAGCACAACAGATTAAATCGGTTGTGCTCTTTAAACATTTTTCTGTGTCGTCGTTTTCTTCTTTCCGTAGATGCTTGTATAACAGTAATTAGAATCTGTTTTCCTCAGTTTATTGGCTAACTAATTTTTTTAATTCACTTCAAAGGTTTAAGCTTTAGTTCATCACAAAATATACAGATTTTCGAGTTTTGCTTATAGAGCTTCACTTTCTTTAGAAAGATAAACTACCATCAAACTCCTTAGGCGAATAATCACTACGTTTGAAATGAACTACTGAGTCCTGAAAAGGTTTAAAACAACTTTTTTTGAAACCAGAACTTGAATATAAATGCATTGCTCGTGTTCCCAGTATCAGCCACCACTAATAGCGATGCAACTTAAAGTAACAGTGAAATTCAAAATTTAAACTAAGCCTAGTTGTCAATTACTGCACAATTAACTTTAGTTCCAAGGTAGCTCAGAGTTTTTCACATGCGTACCAATTTAAATGACGGCACCTATAACGCAAAGCCGACTAATTTCGGCTGTCAAAAATCTAGTAACGTGTCCTCGAGAGGCAGAAACAAACTGTGTCTTATAATCGAAAAATTTCTGCTTAAATACTCTCTAACTGATCTGCATTTTGGTGAGGAAACGGAAAGGGGAAGTGATAAGTAAAGGCTTATATAAATATCTAGTTATGTAAAATAATAGTAACCGTACATGCTTTGTAAAAGAATAGCTCTAACTTTTCTTTTCATCAAATTTTTTGTCATCAGTTAGTAATCTGCAAATATTGTGCACGTTTATTACTTAATAAGATGTTCAAATAAAATACTTTTCATAGCCTGTGTTGCATTTGACATTGCTCTTTTATTTTTCCATTTTAATAAAGCAACGTATTCAACACATTATGTAAGATTCTGATTAAAATAGGTTTCTAATTTTGTTCGTCTCTGTTTGAAGAAGCTACTTTAATTCCCGTTCTCAACTACTAAACGAGGTTAATGCTACTTTTAACAGATAATTCATAATTATGTTCCAAATTCACTGACACATGACTAGAATATTTATATTATTTTATTTATTTTAAACTAAAAAATGTATTTATTTATGAAAACGTTTATTGTTAAAAATAATTTTTTCTAGGCTGGAAGCGGAAAGATTACGACAGCTAGTTAAAAGGATTCTTCAGTTTATAACTATTCGTGAATTTCCGCCAGCTAACGGCCACAAACTTCCATCTATGAGTAAGAGTCGTTGGTGGATACCATGTGCAACGAGGATTTTAGCCCTCATAAGTAAGCTAGAATATTTATAAATATCTAATTTGAAAATCTTCACGCCTTTTTTTAAAGCAGCTGATTAAAATTTTGTACTAATAGTCATATAAGAAACTGTTCTTGTCGATGCTTCATGAAGGTGATGTTATTCCCATTATCCTAATTTCAAGATTCTCTTAATTGATTAGTCAAAAATAGCGCTTATGTTTACCACAACAGGATTACCAACCTACCTCAGTCAATCCAATGAACCTATCTGAAAAGATCTCTAGCAAAGAGATTAGGACAGTATCCCTAAAGCAGATGTATGTATGAATTTTGGCTGACAATCGGCAAAAATAGAGAAACCGTTGATTTCTACTTAAATCTATTTTCACGTGGTTACGGTTCCTTTCCCTCATACTTCTATAAAAGGAATATGTCAGATAATGACAAAAGCGTATGTGGGGAAAGAGCAAACCGAAACCTTTATGCCATCAAAAATCTGGCGATGAGACAACACTGCAGCAAACTCTTCATATCAGAGTTACCAATCTTTAAGTAGTACCTAATGAAGAATAATGACATGAAATACGAAATGTTTAAAGTAATGACAATTGTTCAAACCTTATAGAACAGAAATGATCTGTAGAACTCCAAACAAAATACCATCTCCCTGGTGCTCTCTAAAGTGAACGCAAAAATAATTCCCTCTTGACGAAGTGGCTTTTAAGTTCAGTATTCATATAATCAATTAATGGCAGAAGTGCTTTTCTATCTTTTGAGCTCCAAAATAAGGTAAACCAATAAGTAAGTAAATTCAGCATACACTTGTCTCCATTGTAATCTGTATTTCTTATGTTAAGGGTGTGTAAAATAATATGTCAACTGTATTTTGTATCTCGGCGAAATTATAGCTTTTAATTTTCTGAAACACGGAAATTCTGAAAATTTTCAATTCTATTCTAGGAATTCAAAGATATATCAAGTTTGGAAAATTCACATTGCGAACTATAGCATACTGTAGAACTGTAACTAATTAATCTTTATTCCCAGCTATTAAATAGGATGCAAGTTTTAGCATCTGAAAAGTACTCAACTTACTTAGAACATAATGTGTTTTATATTAAATGTGTTCATAAGTTTTATGCGAATTTCACTGGAATTTGCAAAAATATCCATTACAGTAAATCAATATAATAGTACGGACATCCCATAATACTTTTCAAATGAATATCATAGGTATGTATTCAGTTACCCAGTATGATAATTAAGGTAATCCATGTGAATGACACTCATAGCCTACAATAAGTTTGGTGTGTCTATTAGAGACATGCACAATAATTCTGAATAATAATTACACAGCACTATGGTTTCTACAGTGTGGTAAAGATGAACTATGCCTATCTCCCTTCTTGATGCATTATAAGTGGTTTCCGTGAATATCAGTTCATCTTTAAGGCATCTGTAAGTTAACACACAATTATAAACGGGTCTGCTGCTATGCTACGACGAATGCTGACCTGAACGGAGCCGAACTTTGAAATCAAAGTCACGCTATATATCTGTACATAATGCAGCCCCTTTTAGGAAGAAGGATCAGTAGAAAACATTTAGACAGGCTACAGAGTGTCACAGAAATGCTTTCGGTGGGTACATGGGAGCATTAGAGTACCTGCTAATTAACAGAGTATTTATTCAATCAGTTGTGTCACCTATGACTGAATAAAAAGTTGCATTTCACTGCTTGTAAAACCAATCACTATTAAGGAACTTGAATTCATAAACAAATGCAAATGGTCTATAATATGATTTATGAACGTCATTTCTGTCAAGAAATACTTCAGTTTCGTTGGTTGTTTTTCTTATTCCAAAACCGAATCTCACAGCAAAAAAGCTGCCTTAGCTTACACAATAACTTACCAGTAAAACAAACCCACAGTCTCTTTGCTACTGGCTAGCTTTTTCTCAGTAGAGTAGACGCTAGTTGTTTCCTACACACCAGATTACTTTGATTGTTTCGAAGGAGTTGAAAAGCGAATTCTGCCCCAACTGGGTATGAACATCTCCGTTTAGTACTATGTTCTCTGGTCCCGATGAGATTCATCAACCGACACCATGATATCCACAAATGCCCCCTTGCGTGCTGACGACTACTAAACTTTATAGACTGCAGTGTATGCCCCACAATGAACTAACTGAAGATTTTATTTGCGTCAGCCTTGAAGTGGAACGGGATTTCCCTTCTTGCGCGCAGTCCACGAAATACACTACCCTACACTGAAAATGCAACACCAGGAATGAGTGGCCAGAAAGTTATGAAACTAGGCAAACAAAGAGAGACGGCAATAAACAATAAGTGATCTTTATTTCGAAATGATATGCATGATACAGAGCGAGACCAGCGTCCGCTCAGTAGATTTAGGACCAACATGGACGGCGATACACGAAATAACACGTCTAGGTACAGAGTCAGTGAGGCTACGGATGGTGTCTTGAGAAATGGCTCTCCAATCCCTGTCAATAATTTGCCGCAGTTCATCTTCTGAACGCGGCAATGGCACGGTCTGCAAATGGCATCCAATCACATACCAAATGTACACTGCTCAAAAAAAAAAAAAAAAAAAAAAAAGGACAGTTCTATATCTTCCGTTCTACTGGGCCGATTGACAAAATTCAAATTGCGTTCTTCATGTCTCGAAAGCGCGACTTAGGATATATATTAGATTTATATATAACTCTACTCTAACATAGTTATTTTGACACGAAATCGGACTTTTTCTGAAGTAACATACCAATTTTTTTCCATATTTCGATTCTACAACTCAAATTATGCCTAAAAATTAAATTTTGTTAAATTTGGTGCGAAATTTGTGGAGAAATTTAACAATTTATGTTGGCGCTTTTTGTTCATTTTGCGCCAAAATTAGTTCACTTGGTGAACTTCTTGATATGTGGCAACCTATTTTCGTTTCCATTTCTACATATAGTGCGTCAGAGGAAAAAAAGACCCAATCGTTCCTTCTTTCAAATAATGTTCTGTATATTACATTTTTGATTATAATTGTTATTAATTTTAAGCAATTGTTTTCTTTTTCGAATTTCATTTTAATTGTTTAAGTTCCATGGTTTCGTTCGAATAACTGTTTTAAAAATTTCTATATACTCATTCGAACTGCGTAGTTTAAATCAAAGGTGCATCGTTTATTTATTTTTTTTTTCAAATAGTTTTTTTATACTGTATTTTTAGTCATAGTTACTATTTTAGGTAATTTTTAAACTTTTAGACTTTTATTTTAATTGTTAGTGTTGCATTGTCTCTTCAGATAATTATTTAAAATGTTTCTATTTATTCATTCGAACTGAGCATTTTAAATATATATATTAATTAAATTTTTCAGAATTTGATTTTATTTATTTAAATTGCGTTTCTTTCGGAAGAATACTTTGTAACCCAGACTACGATGCATTTGAAAACTGCATATATAGGGTTATCCAAATTAAACTTCCCCAACTCAGAGGCCTGTGCAGAGTGTTGTATGGGTCATAATGTGATGAAATTTTAAAAACAGACACTTCAGATCATGCCCTCGAGATTTATTACACATTTTTTCAGGTATGCTTAGAAATACACCTACTTTAAGATGATGGTAAAATTTTATAGGTTATAATTCAAAAATGTTTTCGAAAAATTTATAAAAATTATTTAAAAAATAGAAATTAAAAAATAAAACACAAAATGGGTAAATTTTATTTGGAATGAACCTAATTTTTCGAAAATGTGAAAGGAAAAAATCAAAGAAGTTTAATAAAGAAAGAGATATTAATAAATATTGCCAAATTCAATTAAACATTGAGGAGTTAAAATTTTGAGAGCTAATATTTTAAAAAAACTACTTTAAAAAACTACGATTTTTACAACACTGGCATTCGGCATAATTGAGCCGTAGAATCGAAATGGGAAAACATTGGTATGTTATTCAGAAAAAGTTCCGATTTGTGCAAAACCTATGTTAAATAGTGCTATATATAAATCTAATATATCCTAATCGCGTTTCGAGACATGAAAAACGCAGTTTGAATTTGTCAATCGGCCCATTATAACAGGATTATAGCACTGTCCTTTTTTTTTGTTTTTTTTTTTTTTTTTTTTTTTTTTTTTTTTTTTTTTTTTTTTTTATAGCAGTGTACAACTTTCAGAGCACGTTGGCTGATGTGAGCAGTGTGTGGTCGAGTGTTATCCTGCTGATAAAGGGCGTTGAACACTCCGTGAAGGTAGGGGAGTGTCACCGGACGCAGCACATGATCCACGTATTCTGAATACAAATTAGAGGTGACCTGGAATCGTACGCAAATGCGCCCCAAACCATGTTGCCGCGTTGTCACGCGGTGGGGCGTTCCACAATTGCTATCGGATTGGACTTGTCTCCACGTCGGCGCCACTTTCATACGCGGCGACTATCATTGGAGAAACAGACGCGTGCCTCATCTCAAAACCTACCCTGTACCATTCCATCGTTCACGTCGCTCGAGCCCGGCCCATTGCAGACGTTGGCGTTTATAATGCAGGATCAATGGCAGTCTTCTTAACGGACGCCAAGAGTGCAGGCCACTAGCCACCAATCGAAGGCAAATGGTTCTGTTTGATATGGGAACATTCAGGGTGTCTTGAGCATGCTGCAGAATGAAGGTAGAACTGGCTTGCGCCACTGCTTGTCGACGGGTGCGTCGATCCACGTGTGTTGACGTCACTCTGGCTGTACTAGCACCTCTCGAACTTGTCATATTTCGTTGTTTCAATCATCATCGCCACAGCCGTTGGACTGTGGATACGTGCAGGGGTGTGTCAGCTAAGATTTGCCGTATAGGCCAACCTGCCCTTCTCAGTCCGATCACCATGCCCCTCGTAAAATTGTCTGTGTGCTGGAACTGCCACCGTTGACAACGGCCAGGCATTCTCTGCTATTACACGTGTCCTCTGAGACAAGAATAAATTTTCCAGGATGAATTTTCTAGCAGAAATAACAACACGAAAATTGAACATTATTCAGGTTCTTTCCCTTATATCTCCTTCAACGTGCGCTGGAGAGCTGCGTATTTCACACCATTCGCATAACTCGGTGACGTGCGTGTACCCTAATATTTGCATAATTTTGGGCCTTTCCTTCTTGGTGTTGCATTGTCAAGGTCGGGTAGTGTATATTTTTAGTTCAATAAGCGGTTTCAGAGTAGGTATGCATCTAACCAAGTACCTTCTTTGGAAGAGGCTAATAACAGCTTCTAAAATATTCAAAAAGATGCACTGCAGTGCAGGGGGGTGCTTTGAATAATGGCATATCTTGTAAGTATGTAACAATTACACTTTTTAAATCATTCTGTTATTATCCTCTTGCCAAAGAAGGTTTTCCTAGCTACTAAATACCTCTCACTTTCTCTGTGTAGGCTAAAATATACAAGAATATCTTTGGTCACTATGGCAAAAGAAACATAGCTAAATGCCGTAACTTTTTCCATCATAAAGTATGTTGCTTGATAATTGGTAAGAAATAGAGTCATTTTTCGTTATAATCAATGATAGACAACGGTTAAAGAAATTAGACTATTATTATGAAAATGCTACAGATATCGTCACTTGGCAAAACAAGATAAGTAAGATAAAGAAAGATGTTTCTTACTGCTATTTTGAGTCCATCAACATGAAGGGTGACCTCCTCAGATACTCTTGTATATCTGATATCTGTTACTCATGCTGTTCCGCGTAAATTAACTAAACTGAAGAAGGTGTCCATGAGATCATGGAATATTCTGCTCCATTCATCTCTCAGGGCGATTTTGAGTTCCCGTACGACTGAAGGAGGGTTTCTTTCTCTGAACACTACATCTTCCCAGTGCATCCTAGGCTTGCTGTATGGGCTTTAGGTCCAGGAGTATGAAGGGCATGTCATGCGTTCAATATCTTCCCTTGCTAATGGGTCGTACATTTCAGCTGTCCTTGGATAGCGGGCATTGTCATCCATAAAGACTGGACCAAATATACCAAAGTAAACACAGACGCGAGCTAGGAACATTTTGGCGCAGTACCTCTGTGATAGCATTGGACCTCCTTCAAAGATGTGAAAAGAAGTTCTGACACTGTGTGTGATACCCACCCACACAATTACTTAGGGTTAGCCATCAGCTTCTTGGACATACTAATGATAATAAGGAGTTCCTCTTTCCACACTAGCCAATGTCTACAATCACTGCTGATGGGAAAGTTGAATTCGTCAGAGTAATGGCTCTGAACCACTGTTGCTGACTCCAACGAATATGCATCTTACAACAACATAATCTTTCTGACGATGGTGCGCTCATAACGAATACATGTAACAGACTTCCTCTCATATAAGACAACATTACTGAACTGCCCAGAATTAGTTTCCAAAGAAACGCCAGCGCCGGTAGCATTGGCAAGGTCTGCCACTACGGTCAAGAGTAGCATTTCCGTTCTTTTTCGTCACTAGAGCGACATAACATATCTTTGTAGAGTCACTGGGTTTTTCTTATTGCAGGGGGTGCATGAAAAATGAGCAATGCCCTCGCCAGGACCTGGACGTCTCGAATACGCGCTGAGTGTGCTACGGTTACACCACGAAGGCGTAGCATTGGTAAGGTCTGCCACTACGGTCAGGAGTAGCATTTGCGTTCTTTTTCGTCACTAGAGCGACATAACATATCTTTGTAGAGTCACTGGGTTTTTCTTATTGCAGGGGGTGCTTGAAAAATGAGCAATGCCCTCGCCAGGACCTGGACCTTTCGAATACGCGTTGAGTGTGCTACGGTTACACCACGAAGGCGTGGTGGAAGGAGGGAGGAAATACCTTATATCCTCTCTTCCATGTCCTCGTATGGCCTCCGGCATAGTTTCGCACAACACTCATATTTTAGGCAGCCTTGTTCGTTTTAATAAACAGAATTAGTAATGTAATCAGAAGCAGGCAACATGATTATTTATCTCAAACGTTACTGCTTTCATTTACGGATAAGGATATAACATGAGTGCACTGCCTTTTAAGATAAGACGTCTTGCCCTACAAGGCTTATTTTTTCTGCGATTGTTCACCTGTAAGTAACACAAATTTACAAAAATCATTTGTTCCTTAGCAACTGTCGAGTAGTGTAGAATATTTGTATCCTGGTCTGAGAAAGGATACGTTATTGCTTCAAGAAATTCTTTACCTTAGAGGTTAAATAAGGAGCAATTTCATCTGATTGCGAAGAATACAAATCCATACATGTCCATCAAGATCTCATACTGAGACGAAGTCTCATTTACTGAGATCATTCAGATCAAGTCTGTGGGTTTGTTGACATTTAATTGATCAAAGTTTTATAGCTGCTCTGCAAAATGGAAAATAATACTTAAATATATTTATTTAGTTCATATACCTATTTGCTACTGATTTACTTTATTATTAGTTATTTAATTTTAATTGTTAATTAATTAATTTATTTTGCTTACATTTCTAACAGCGTTCTATAAGATTTCCATACATTTAATTTCAGAAATTAAACTCTGACCTTTATGTACCTTAATTTTTCCTTTACTAATTGGAGCACTTTTTGTATCCAAACTTCAGAACATTTAAGTATTATCTTAAAAATGTATTTATAGAGTGAAATTTTATTTCAGATACAGCGAATAGTCGAAACAATCCGAATATCATTCCTTACACTGAATTCTATAACAGTGCTCTGGACCACGTTAATCTGATGGCTGAATATTATCGATGGCAAAACCCGAATAAGCACCACAAGTAAAATTTCCTTTCTTTCATTAATCTAGTTAGATCTCCGTCATTCAAATCTGAAATACGAACTTTGTAGCAGTACAAAGTTAGCATTAAAACCTATAGTATAAATAGCCTTAGCATCCAGTAATAAATTCTACACTGTTTTTGTTTCTCAGCAACTACTCCAGATCAAGCCTTTATTTCTTCTAAAATTAGCGATAAAAATCCTATATAAAAACAAATGCTTATAATTATTTTAACAGCACGGTAATTGATTGAATTCATAAAGATTATTTTGAACATACAAGCAAATGATGCTCATTTTGAACTCTGTATTATGAGGTAATTTGCAGCTATTCAAAATAAAATAGTAGAAAAAATTACAAACAGAATTAATTTTGTTTACTAATAATAAGTATGCTTATGTTTCACGAGTACTGTCTGTTACAGATTTTCCTATTGTCAGTATCCATTCATTTTAAGCATAGTGGCCAAAAAGATGATATTACAAAGGGACTCAGAACAGCAAATGATTCTCAATGCAAGAGTAAGTTTTCCTTTTGAGATTATATCCAGTCACTCTTAATACAAAGAAATCAGTAGTATTATTCACGGGACATTGTAAAAGTAAAGGGATAGTTTAAGAATTTCCAATTACAGTTTTTGTTAACAAGTAACTGGTTAAAAATTCTTTAATTCCTTTAAAAAAATAAAATATAAGTTATAAGCTTATAAAACTAATGTTTTATATGAAACTGCGTAAATCTTCCCTGTATTTTGCTTCAGACCCGTCCACTCTTTCGAAAAGCATTACAGCAATGATGACTAATATTTCGATAATTCAGTTTTGGTGTCAGTGTAAGATAAAATATGCAGTTGCTACACATAAAATGCAGGAAAACTTTGGATAAAAGAGGTGAAAATATGTGTCTCTAGACCAACGTTAAAAATACACATTGGTCAAAATTTACCACTAATACGATTTATGATGCACAAACAGGATAATAAAAATTAATGCTACAAAAGAAAACTTACCTGTGATTCTTGTAATGAATATACTTCTCAAATACAGATGTAATATGAAAGGGTAATTTTCCATGTTTGTGCGGACATTCATAGATGTTCAATGTGAGCGCTCCTTTACAACATGCCAGATTCTACACGATAGTCTAGTTGTTTCCACACTCGTGCCAACGTTACATGATCAAATGAGTCGACCATATCACCTAGTCGCTGCTTAAATTGCTGTATGTCTTGTGGAAGAGCGGGTACGGATACCTCCACATATCCCTAAAGGAAAAAGGCGGAAGACGTTAGGTCGGATGATCTGGGGGGCCAAAATATTAGAGGCAACATCCGAACCAGCACTATCAATTCAGCATTCCAGAAGATACTTTTGAGGTAATCGAGTACGTTTCTACGCCAGTGCGATGGGGCATTATCTTACTGCAACATGATGTCAGGCATCATTTCCTCCAAATGGGGTAACGACCATTTGGATAGATGCCGAGGTAGGTGAATCTTTTAACAGTAACTCCTCAAAAAAGAAAGGCCGAAATACACTGTTTTTGATTATGGCGAAGAAACCTTTTATCTTCGGAGAATCATGTTATATTCCAGGATGGCATCCGGAATTTCTGTGCTCACTAATCTCAAATTATGCTTATTCAGTTTGCTACATAGTAGCTGATGCTACCTTCGATCCACAGGACTTTCAGTCCAAAGTTGAGCTCTGTCGAGAATAACCAGCTATAAGATTAGCCATACCATTCAGCCTCAAAAAGCCTAAAGAGGACGAAATGAAAATCTACACAGAAGGTTCAGGGCTCGAGGGGCATACTGACGAGGCCTTCGTAATACTGTACTATGATGTGCTGATTCATGAAGAAAGGTATAGGTTGGGAGACCTTAACATTGTCTTCCAAGCAGAGCTCTTCACCACAAAGAAGGCTCTCGAGTGGTGCGTGTAGTTCTGGAAAAGAAAAAGAACTTCCATACACACAGACAGTTTGTCGTCGCTCTATGCTTTTTCAAACCCTAATCACCTCCATTTCCTGGTAAATGAAATTAAAAATACTATATATCGGCAGGCTTTAGTATGTCAGAAGATTAAACTAAAATGATCAAGACACACGTAGGCTATTACGGAAACGAGATGGCCGATGATCGTGCGAAACGCGCCACCTTAAACAACGAGATTTATGAAAATCTTCCCATCCCTCTCACGAAATTCACACGAAACTTGAGAGATATATTTATTTCTTCGTGAATGGAAAACTCGATGGCAGTAATCTGATACTGGACGATTAACGTTCCAGATAACTAACAAGCTAATCATGAGAGCTCTCTGTGGCAACCATTATCTCAACCAACTTATAACTGGTCATGGTCGATTTCCGTACTACCTCGAGAGAGTTGGAATGGATTCTTCAAAATGTTGTGGGTTCGGCTGAGGGGATGGAAATGCACTTCATTATTTTACTGAGTGTGAATTCACACAAAATACCCAATGAAATTTACATTTCGATCGGGAAAATCTGAATACTTTAATGACGGACATTAACCTCCCATACCTTGAGAAACTTGCAAGAGAGGTGGGAAGCTTGTCCATCAGATTCTTAATGGCAATCTAAAAAGGAGTTATTCTCCTCGCATGAGATGTTTTCAAGAGCGCATTAGGAATAGCGTTGAATCCGGAGGGATTAACATACGTCCGTGACCAAGGTTGTGCTTGTTGAATACAAATATCCATTTCTAGACGTCATCATCAAACCCTAATATGCACGTAATTGTGCAGGTAGAAAGAGGTGGAATTGTAGGTGGAACGCTCCAGACCCTTGTCCCTTTGTTGTTATGTAGCAACATAAATTAAACTTGGCTTTGTCAGTCAACACGAGTCTATCCGCGGAATCATCTACTTCCAGCCATTCCTGCAAATCCACATAGAACTTTCTCAGTTTACGTTTTTCTGTAACTTTTAGTGCCTGTGTCATGTGATGCTTGCAAAGTTTGAACCTCAGATGCTTGCGATACGTTGTCTGCTGGTACAATTATTGACTTGTTGGGACTTTTTTGGTAAGTCACGGAAATGTTTTACACAATTTACTTGCCGAGACATTGCCATTTCGCGCTTTTTTCCTTTCCCAAGCAATTGTTCTCCTGAAACTGTCTCAACCATTTTGTGATGTTTTGACGGTGAGGCGTTTCTTTAATCAATTTGATTCCGAAACGTATATTCCAGATATTTCTCTACAATTCCACTTTTGAAGTCCCCAGTGCTTAATAAGTTTTTCGTTTTGCTGATAGGGTTATTCTGATTATTAGTACTGTTAGTACCTCTAAGGCTGAAATTCAGAGCATTTCGAAAATGGTGAGCTTTTCAATGTTGTCAAATGAAAACTGGAAAGTTGCATTTTCTTGTTACATCTAGATTGGTGAAATAAATTCATTACAACAGACACGTGTATGCTTTCATTTCGTAACATTTATTTGGAATTAACGCGTATGTACATAAATCTCTATTGTTGTTATTGTGACTTATCTCACTTGTCTGACAGTAACATCAGAACAAGCCCACGAAATTCATCATGACAAGGATTTCAAGATTGCCCTTGTGGTTGGCGAGAGCCCTGAGCACCACGCATGTGATAGTACGTCTTTGTTCATTTCCACCCCCCCTCACCATTTTGATGGAGGGCATCCCGGGGGTGCGGGTTCGAGGTTCTCCCACCCTTCTTCTTCTACCACGAAGCTCTCGAGAAAACATTCGGCTCTCCGCATGTTTAGAGTGCTCCCGTGACACTACACATTTACAAATATCCATGCATTCTCTGGGACGCATGGGGTTCCTAGGATCCACCCGGACGGCAGTCAGCGTCGTTATAGTTACTGTAATTAAAATTTAAACAATTATTTCATTCCATTTAAAGTTCTTTTATATATTTTTATTTATAACACTGCGCAGAAATATGAGTTAAATCAAAAACTATTTGAAGAGATCATTATTTGCATAGCAGTTTCAGTCTTTCGATTTCAAAACTCTCTATATATTACGAAAAGTTTTGAAATGTCCTTCAGTAGTCTCGGATGCTGTCGCTGTCTTCTCACAATGCTTAATATACCTAATGCGTCAACTTTAAATACTATCACCTTTTCAATGAGATTCTTAACATCAAAAATCTCATCAGCATTCATTGTCTATGTAACAGTTTACAAAATAATGCCTTCGGAACTACATGGCAGAAACATCGGTAACTTCATCTGCATTTTCTAATTCACCCGGAATAACAGTTTCGAGTTTCCACACACAGTGAACCAATTGAGAATGAAGGATATTGTCGCTTCCGTCCTCTTCTGAAGAATGAATTAATGAATACAAGAATTGGTCTTTATACATTCAGTACATGTAACATACATATTCTAAAGGCAGGTTTAACGCTCAGTACGGCTTGTAAAATTAAGAATTAACGCTTTATCGCCTTTTCACCCATGGCCGCTGTTCTGTGGCATTCAAGGTGAAAGGCTTGAATAACAAGTAACAATTGAATAAAAACGCTTTCTCTAGCAAGAACTTTTACCGTGAAAATACCAAAATTGTTTAAACGGCATTGTCTTGGTGTCGTAAACTACAGAGGCCTAATATACAAGACTGTTATTTCAGATCTAATACTATATGCAATAAGCATAAACACTGAAATGGTCGGGATTTAAATGAGGCTTTATAAACAGGGGCGCGTCACATATCTGGATGAGCTTATAATGAGGTTTGATTTTATAATGCTGCTATTATGACCGGAATTTTTAAGATAATTTTTAAAAAATCTGTAAGATGCACAATAATAAACATTTAATAACAGGACTCAAGAATTTATTTTTTGTGACTGATGTAATTTATTCAATGTTAAATCCTTCTGTTACTTTTTTGTAACATGACAAATTTTTGCCTACCAACGGCCGAACGGTGTCGCTGAACAGTGGATGAACGTGCTTAACAGTAAGTTTCCCTTACAAAATCCTCCACGAAAGCATCCTGCCCCTTCGATAGATAGCCCTACAGTGATTTTCTATAATCTAACAACTCATACCAATTAGAATTTTTTATTGGAGGAGAAGGGACGAATGAAACTTAACGTCTGGTGATAATGCAAACCTACAGTTGTAAATTCATATCTTTAAATTAAAACAGAACTGCAGGCCACGGGGAATTTCCTCGAATTTGCCCACACATAAAAGGAATGTCAACCGGTGTACGCCAAAAATTGCGTACAAAAAAAATTCTAAGGAATACAGCTTTCTAATGTTTTGTATATGATTATAGCCTAACCTAATTTAACAACCAGACCGCATTATTTTTTATCGGCAGCTTCATTAATTCGTCATATTTTTGTCATAGCAATATATAACTGTGGCTTCGGATGTTATTTTACATTTTAAAACACTTCTTCTATTAAGTTTATCTAGAAGATTAAATATCACTTTTTGACAATATTATAGGTATTAGGAATGACTTAAATAATACAGTTTAGCATGTCTTCTTTTTTACAGAGGAGTCTGATGAGCAGAGCATTACACCAACAGGCTCCGGATATTGATGTATTCTTCTTGAACCTCAATGTTAGACGATCTCATCTTGTATCAGATTCCTTAAATGAGGTATTTGTAAAAAAATATCTGCCATTTTTTAATGAGTGTTTTGAGCTGTTAACTCCAATTAATAAGAATAGATGAAAGTACTATTTCTTACAATAAGCAATTAACTTTAATTTTAAAACAATATATATTTTACCCCTAAATTTCGCAAGCATTTGAAGACAAGAACCTGGTAAAATCTTGAAATATACTCGTATGAATGTGAGGCACATACGAAAAGCGTATATGTATAAAGAATAGTAATTCTCAACCTTTAATTGCTCAAATGCCCCTCTTTGCATCAAATGTAGGTAAGTCAATTTATACCCTGAAGTTTTATTATTACTATTCTTTTTAAATAATGCATTCCAAATAACAGGTAAAGGTAAAAATCGCAGCATAAATGTATGCATTTATAAACTTTAGATTTATTATATCTAATAAGCATTCATTATTTTTTATAAATATGTAAATTATCATTATATTTATAAACTAAAAATAAGAAAATGTTGCTATTGATTTTGCTGTGCTCACATAATGTCTAATTTTAACATTTCCCAGCTCCAGGTCACATGATTTCGAAAGGCTCTTAGCTTTTTTTGCCCTGAACTTAAAAGTCTACTACAATAGACGCTGTTTGATGTTTGATGACAAATGAGTCTACTACAATAGAATATGTCTAAAAATCACAAATGTGATGTCCAAAAATGGATCAACGTGCAAACGTGATACTATATGTTGGACAGATAAAACGAACATTAATTTTGAATTAATCCATGATATTTGAATTGGTGCTCATTACAAATATCTGCCTGTCTTGACCGCAGCTCGCAGTATCTTAAAGAAAATCTCGACTTAATAAAATAATGCCAAAATAATAAATTTAGCTCAGTAAAAGATAATAATTTGGGTATTCAAAAATATTTAAATTAATGAAAAAAAAAGAATGCATTAATAAAGCATCCATGAATATTTATTTTAAGAAAATAGTTTAAGATAACTGTCAGACAGAACTCATTAGCTCGGATCTTAACCCCACAGAAAATGTGTGGAATATGGTGGAAAGACGCATCCAACAACACTCGCTTCTTCTATCTAATTTATAAGATTTAAAAAGTTGCATAGCCAATGCATGGTATTCTCTGGACGTAAATGCACTCCAGAAGCATGCAGACTCCATGCCCAAACGAATCAGAGCAATTATCCGTGCAAAAAGGTGGTCCAATGAAATATTGATCTTGGGTTTCTAATTCATTGGGCAGGCTAAAGTGAGAAAAACGACTGAAGAACGATCATTCAGGCCAAATTCAAAATATATCATCAGCGAATTCATGCAATACGATACTAATTAGCTTATTAATTTAATTAAAATTAAAGCTTTTAATTTTAATGCTGATTAATATATGCATTTTATAATTTTCGGCATTTTATATTGATCGCAGTGTTGCATTAGCTACCAGCAACTATTTCAGCGTATGCTTTTATAACGAAATCTATCCTCTCCTTTTCATCAAAAACGTTATTCATTTATGTTTTAGTAGTTAGTATTTTTTTACATGTTTGTTTATTTATTTTTAAGATGTCAAATGGTTAAGGGAAACATTTCTTTTAACATCCCAGGAAACGAACGTATGATAAAGGTAGCTGTTCTTTTCTCTACCTTCCGTATCGAACAATTTTTATTCACTCTATTCTGTGTTTCTAAAATATATCCATTTTCAAACTAGAAAATTTACGCAGGTGTTCCTGAAACTTCAGATTTGTTGCACGAAATAAATGCCCATAATTAACAAACCACTGACAGTATTAGTATTATTTACCTACAAGTCTGTTTCTCTTCAACAGATCGCAAGAAAGCAGTCAGATTTAAAGAAAAAACTGAAAGTGACATTCGTAGGTGAGCCGGGTCTTGATATGGGAGGCTTAACAAAAGAATGGTTCCTACTTCTGATCAAACAAATTTTTGATCCAGATTACGGTAAGTGCAAAATTATGTAACTTCTTATTTACAATGAGACAGATGCACATAAATCTATCATCATGCCTTAAGAAAAAATATGATCCTATGCGTTTAAAAACCATTCGATACTAATTTATAAATATCATAAAAGTGAAACAACAACCTGTGTTAGGCGTAGATTTTTAGCATAGAAACTCTATCGAATTCGACTGAGAACAAAGTCCCTCTTCATCAGGAGCAAAGAAATTTGACAATAATATCATTCCCAATTGTATACAATTGAAATGTAGTCTTAATGCCTATGTTCATGTTTCGAAAATTATAGATAAATTCAAATTGTCATTTCTTCATCACATTGTAAGAAACACGCACAAACGTTTATCTAAAATTGAATATGATAATAATATTACCTTCATTTAAAAGTTGCTATTTCTATTTTAAATTTTCCTCGCTTGACCATAAATCTTGGTCTAGAGCTAGAATCGCTTGCGTACGCCATAAAAATTTACTAGATTCTAAATTCAAAAACCTAACATCTCATTCGGCTAACCCTGCATTCTGGTTATCTTCCCATAGTTAACATGGCCCACCAGCGGCCGAGCGGTAACGTCGCTGAACACTGGTAGTTCGGTCCCAGGTTCGAATCCCGCGAATGGGCTGGCTGCATGGGTGTTTTCGTGGTTTTCCCCATGTGTAACGTGTATACGAGCCAGTTTTTCCTTAACCCTTTCCGGCACGCTACCTTTTAAAGTTGGAGTTTTGATTTAAAAAAAAAATAAATAAATAAAGGTAGGCAGTCTAATTAGGCCTAGAGGAGTGCACTAGTAAAATTTTGTGAAGATAGCATATTTGTCGTTTAATTCTGTGGGTGTGGCCAAAGTGGGCACACTGATTGAATAGAGCTTCGAAAAGAGTGCTGAAACAAGCATTGTTGTCAATGAACTGACCAATGAGATGCGGAGAAACAAAGAATACAGACTCTCTGTTGTCCTAGATTATCGGTGAGCCCGGTCTGGGCACACATAGGATTCGCCGTTTGATTTTAGACCAGATTTCAAGGTAAAAATTTAAAATTAATATACAATAAGGAGATTAGCATACAGCCAAAAAAATAACATAGAATTTTTTTTTAAACGATTCCTTTTATACCCTAAAAAAATCTGGAAGATTTCTTTGAAAAATGAGGGTCTTAAAAAACTAAACATGACTAAAATATATGGACTGGTTTGTGTTGAGCTGCCATCTACTGTAAATAAAGAAGGTTCAGAGTAACCTATAAATCCTTTTTCGTTCAATTTTTCTGTGCGTACAGAAGGAAATTTTTAGGTGTGTTCAGACCGGACACACTGTGCTGCAAAGGGTTAGAAAGTCTTCCACGAAGGCATCCCTCCTTTAAGGGCAGATAGCCCTCGATTGCTTCGCCGTAATCTAATAAACCAAACCAAACTATAGTTAATGCTAATCCTATTGTGAATATCTCGAATGTTAATCTTTCAGAGGACCGGGTGAAAGTATTAAAATATAACTTCAGTTTTTCGAAGACATCTAAACCTTCAGCTCTTCAAATAATCGCCCCTATCGATAAAAGCATTTAAATTCTTCAAAATCTCAGGTACCCAGAAAGATACAATTCGCTACTTAATTACTCATAACGTAAATTCTAATAACAAATCATTTATTCCAAATCTTAACCAAAAAGGAAAGGAAGGCTTTACGTGAAATTCATTCTAATCCTAACATTGTAATTTCTAAAGCTGATAAGGGTGGATAGATCGTTGTTATGGACAAATACACACATATTGATGTAATCACGAAACTGATACATGAAGGCGCATATTGCTCAATCCCTAAAAATCCTTCAACTTCCGACCTCACGAAAGTTAAAACAGCTGTTAAATTGCCTCATATACTGTTCAATCAAGATTAAGGGTAGATTTCTTTGCTCCTGATGAATAGTGACTTTGGTCGCCCTCGAAATCGGTAGAGTTTTTATGCTAAAAATCCATGTCTAACGCAGGTTGTGTTTTCACTTTTATGATTTATTTGAGGTATGTTTCCTCTTCTGTCTTTATAAATATCATGTTTACTTATATTTATGGAAAAGCATTTGCTTATGCAATTTGAAACTAAGTCTTTTTTTTTTTTTTTTTTTTTTTAATAGGTATGTTTGTTTACCATAACAAATCCAGATGTTACTGGTTCAGCACATCTCAGTCTGGAAATCTCAGGGAATATAACCTTATTGGAGTAGTATCCTTTTATTTGCGGTCTACAAGACACTATAGATCAGAAATAATTTATGAACTGGCATTTAAATACAGATACTGTTCAATTAAATAAAAATTCAGAATTGTCAGAAATATCTTTTAGGCCATTTCAAGCATTTTCTGTGTTTTATTTCTTACAACAGCTTGACACTTGATGGCTTTTCGATTCTGAAATAGTTTGCAGCCGAGAGAAATTACTGGGAGTTATCTTCATCTCAGATTGTTCAGCGGTCTATCGTTTTCTTTGCTTATTACAAACAATGCGCCATATATCAAAGTGTTGTTAGCTTCTTAAATATTTTATTCTTCTCCTTTAAAGCTAACATTACACTGAAAGTATATGTATAACAGAAGTCTGTATTATAACAGAAACTTTATTTCTAAAATGCATTCACATTTGTTTATTCACATGATAAAAAAGAAAGGATTACCTGTCATGTAAAAGTTAATGTCTAAGATAATACATCCGCAGAACTCCTGTCCCACTGTCGACATTTATCCTTCACTGCCGGTCCTCTTCAACACCTTTTAAAACTTTATTTATCATTACATATTTTATCAGTTTCTGTGTAGGGTTTCCCTTATTTTGCATAACAAATTATTTTAAGTTTTGCTGCCATTCCTGAACCTTTCATTTTCCCCTCGCCTTTCTTCGCCAGGATGCAAATTTAATGTTAAGCGAAGTGAATATTTAAGCGGATGAACCTTGTAGTTTATTCAGAGCGTGTTTTCGCTATCCAGTGTACGTTACGAGTCTCTACATGCTGTTACGCGGAGTTGCTGATAAGCCTTTTTGGCCAGTTAGTAAGTATAACGCCGGGTAGGTTGTTAAGACAACCTAGTTAGCCTTAACTTAAATTGTTAGTCCAGCACTTACTCTTCTGAATTTATTGTATAACGATTATTAAGTTCCACCGCAAGTTGTCGGTGAGTTTGACGAATAATAAAACCTTCTTTTTGTGTTGGTATTCTTTACGCCTGTGCGAGAAGACGACAGGTTCTTTAGTAGGATCTAGCAAAGTTTATGTTACCAAAGATAGTACGATCCTACATCTTTCATTCTAAGGACCTTTTTCTTTTCAACTTTTTCTTACTGTTGCCATTTACCATTTTCTCAACTCTGTCCTGCCGTGACCATGAGCTTGAAAGCCATTGAGTTACATTTTTAATTTTCAGCTGTGAAAAAAAAAAACATATAAATGTATTCTCGAACAAAGCGATCATTCTTAACGCAAAAATTTGTAGCTGAGTGTATTCGTTTTCGAACAAGTGCAATTTTTTATCACTGAATGATGTTTATGTCACGTTATAATTTAATTAGCTCCATTTATAAATTCCCTGTTTATGTTTTTAATGGTAATGAAAATAACGTAAACGAGGGCTTCAAATAATTAAAATCTTGTAACGCTGTATTTGCGACAAATTCATAATTTAAATGTCTTCGCGAGCCACATAAAATAGTTTCGGAGACACCAGTTTGAGACCGCTGTATTATATGACTGCCATAATTCTAACTTTTCACATTATGCACTCCGTTAAATTCCAACTAAACAACCTGAGTGAATGGATCGTAATGAGATTATTGATATAATTGATGAAAGTCATTTCAAAAGCTAGCGCTACTTATTTCGATTCAGAAATTTTAAATTTTAAATTTTAAATTTGAAAATTTTAAATTTTCAGAAATTTTAAATTTGAAAATTTTTAATAGTGTTACAGGTATGTTAAATTTTAAAACTGATTTACAGACGTTATTAAACATTAAATTTATTACTATGTAAATAATGCTACAGAAATTCTAAATTTTAAAACTCTTTAACTGAACTTCAAATAAAAATATATATAACATTAGAATACATTTTTTTTTTAAAGAAATTTCCACGATTTCTGTAATACTTGTTTTTACTAACTCCAGTTACGAAATTGAGTCAATTTTTTACTTAATTCTTCAAGTACTGCTTTATGGAAGTTATAAAATCCTTTACTTATTCGCAAGCTCATGGGTCTTGCTGTTTATAATTCCATAATTCTAGACCTCCACTTTCCTACAGCATGCTACAAGAAATTGCTCAGTCCCCCCGTTGTTCCTCAGAATCTGCAACATGCGAATGTAGGAGTCTGGAAGTTTGGAATTGATGACTTGGCGGAAGTTATGCCGGTACGTTTAAGTTTAGATTTACATTCCTTTTACACTATTCTTTTCCCTACTATAACTGTGTGCTTTTGTTGCACTAAAAAAATAATCTTAAAACTAAAAATCATTGTTCAGCAAGTCGTGTGTTTTGACGCACATTTAGTAAATTTCGGTAGCACTGTTTCCCTTAACCCATAAAAGTGTTGCAACAAAACACTGCTGACGCAGGAATAACAATGCTTTTCGAAAATGAACAAAACTGATGATTTCTTACTGAATTTTCCTTTTAGAATTATTATTATTATTTTCTTGAAATATAGGATGTAGCCATAGGACTTCGTGAATTACTGACCTATGAAGGAAATGTAGAGGAAGATTTCTGCATGACATTTCAGGTATGTATTAATTGGAAAACCAAAAGTATTTATTTAATTGAACAATGCCATACATATATAACAACAATGATACGAAAGTACCTAGAAAAAATGTAAAGATAGGTAGGGGAAATCGAAATAAGCAGATTTTGTCTTGGAATGTGCGTGCCTAAATGGCCAAGCGCTGTGGAGCAGGAGATTAAATCGTTCTATTGGCGTAAACCGTCATTGCCCGTGCGGCTTTTGAGAGGTATGTATTATTACACGAACGCGGAGCTCGACGACATGCATTTTATGCTGCTGCTATAAACGAAAATGGAATAGCTACTCAAAAGTACATAGGAGTTGCTCATTGTAGTATCTCTTTTTAGTAGCTGCTTCGTTTTAGCCGCAGATGTTCATTCATTCCAGGGTCTCAGTTGTGAATTTATGTCTCAGCTTCTGTCACAAGACACGAAAAAAAATCATCAGCATGCATGTTTATTCAAGACAATAGTTCTCGGGGTTAATCACCATGAATTTTCACCATTTCTGGTGTCAGTATGCGTGGTATCATCTGGCACATACCTTTGAAACACCCAAATTTAATACAAGATTTTTTTTATCGACCCATTATCGATGCCCTTTTCCACTGCAGTCAGATAAACTGTCACAGGTCGATTTTTTACCATTTAATTCCTGGACTGTCCTACACAATTCGTCAGTGGAAACGCCCATTCTGCTGCTTCAAGTGACGTTGTTCCCAATAGAGCATCCTACACATTTGGACACAAGAAAATGCAGTGTCACTATTAGACGACAACGTAGTTCATGAACATTTGCTGTATCATGACATTTATTACATTATGACATTTGCTGTATTATCACCAAATGATGGTTGATAGCTTCGATAGCCACAGACATATACTGACTAAAAACGTTTCTCAGTCTCGCAGAAATAAACTGATAATTATTAGCCGTTTATTCGTACACTTATTAAACATCCACCGTATGCTTTCCCAAATCCATCAAATTATTTCACCTAATATACCAGCCGGCGGTCTTAAAGTGTTAATTACAGACTTAGTGTATTACTTGACGCAATATTATAAACAATTTTTAAGTTCGCGAAAACTTATTTAGTGTACAATATTCATATGGTAAATTGACATTTCTTTTCAGGTATCTGTGGAAGAATTTGGTGCAGTGAAAACTCACGTGCTTAAAACTGACGGAGAAAATATTCCAGTTACAAATGATAACAGGCATGGTAAGGTTAACAATAATTACTGTTAGTCAAATCCTTATTGTTGAGGACGAATATCATATCCTACATCAGTACTTTGATAAAATGGAAAAACTTTAATGCAAACTGCTCGCTGTAACTTAATATTCATTCTCCGGCTTGCTTTGCTCGTAGCTTCTTGTTTGTCAGCTGCTACGTCCGTATAAAGCAAACCCACCTACTGAATTATTCTAAGTAATTATTCGCATCATTTCACAACACAAAGTATTAAAACTTCAAATAAACTTAAATAAAATTAAATACATGCAAATGTATATAATTATCTTGCAGCATCTATGAAATACAAATGCAGAGCTGGTTTGATTGAGAAACTAGAACAAATAGTTGTTTTAAACATAAGAAGCAGTTGAAATAGATTTGGTGAAAATTCCAGCTCTTTTCTGTCGCTACTTCTGATATCTGCCATTCATTTCAAAATCGAGAATTCCTAAACATGAATAGAAATGGCACAATATTAACAGAAGTAGCTTTCCAACAGGCTACTGATTTTTTAGCACTACTGATTTGTTAGTTTTAAGAGACATATACAAATACGCCTTAAAATGTTCCAGTTTCCTTAATCATTTGGCAATTTTCAAATAAAATGGTAAGGCAAGTCAGAGTACAGTTCTGATATAATTTTGAGATTTAGAAACATTATGTACACGGCATTTTAAGGCTTTTTCTTTGCTTTTCAGAATATGTGCACTTATATACTGAACTCATATTGAACAAAGCCATATACCAACCTTTTAAGGCGTTTTATCTAGGCTTCCACAGTGTCTGCGCATCCAATGCATTAATCGTAAGTATTGACAAAGTGGCATATTTTTTTTTGAAAAATTTATTATGAAATAATATAAAAATCTCGAACGCTATACATTTCATAAAGCAAAAAATTAGAAATTTTTAATAAGACAAATTTTAAATGTATTGATGTCTTTATATAGAATCATATTTCCCAGAATTTCATAGTACTTTTCTCCCTCAAAAACACACCTAAATTAGTGGCAAATCGAAATATTTTGCAATACGCCAAGGGAACTTATAATAGTAAATTTTCATATTTTAATCAGATGTTAAGACCAGAAGAAGTGGAAATGTTAGTTTGTGGATGTCCAACTTTAGATATGGATGAGCTACGCAAAGTTACAGTTTATGATGGTTTCCACGAAGAAGAACCGATTATAAAGTAAGTATAATTGTTTTTAAGTTATATGACAACATTTGGTCCTATAATGGTCGCCCAAATTGTATCGATCAAACTTCCAACAGGTTTCAGACTTGTCTCTTGATGTGTGACTTTAGTAAATATGTACACAGAATGGTATCTGTCAGCAGCGAACCAAATTTTATCAACTAGGTAGGTCGGAAAATTTTCATCCTTCAATTAATATCACCATTTTCCATCCAAAGTTTTGGCACTGAGAGGTAAACAAAGAAAATAAATGGGGAATTTTAGATTGAGGAAATGTGTACTTTTAAATCAGAGCAGGTCCTAACACTAGGTCTATGAGATACTCCGGAACCAAGGCGGTCGTAAATAGAAACAAGCAGTACGTAAATGAGAAGCTCATTAAAACGTGAAAGCACGGTAAGTTAAATTTCCCCCAAACACTCTAACTATGTCATAATGTCACAGATTTTCAGGTAAATATGTGCTGAACTAAAAAAAAAAAAAAAAAAACTGGTACACTACCAAAACTGCTATGCAACACTAGCAAAAACCCTCACATAAAGAAATACCCGCTATTTAATATACGAAATATTTATGTATCATTCGACAGAGTTTAGATATAACATTTAACCTAATTTAAAGTCTACAATAAACTTGATTTCAGATATAGAGCCGAAACTAGAACTTTTAGAAACAGGCTTAATTAAAACTTCTCGTCGCGGCGTGATGAGTGCGACAATAAGTATCTGTAGAGGCTTGGCTAGGTTGTTTGTATCATGGATTACACACATAGAGATGGTTGATTTTAAATAATAAACCTTTAATCACAACAATTACTCATCATAACTACTCATTAAATCAATACTGAAGATATTTAAATATCCGTTACAGTTACAGCTAGAAATTTGGGCATGCAGTTGGTGAGTAACAAAAACAAGTTCCTTCAGTATCGCCACACTCCAAACAAATGAGACTTAACTAACTTTTGGAAAATTACAGCTGAGTACTGATGTCTACTAAAACCACTGAAACTAAATAACTATGATTAAATCAATAAAACTTACAGGTGGTTTGCACCGAGGCGGAAGGTTTGCATTGGTGTATTTAATCATATTTTGTCATACGATTTTTGGCATTTGAAAGAGACTTGATTTAGAACACTGTTTAGTGAAATTTGTAAAAAAAATATTATTTAATCATTAACATAAATAATGCTCTCAAAAAGCAAAACTTAACTGGAACTTAACTGGAAAGATAAAACTGAGGACAGATGTCTAATAAAAGCTCCTACACTAAGTTGACTACTGATAAAAAAAGCTAATAACCAAGTTAAATAAAATTTTACATTCATACTCTTAATTGAGAGATACTTATTCTCATTATAATATATATGAAGTATAATATACAAAACTTACTTTGGGTGGTGGGGGTGGAGGTGAAGGGGGTGAAGCACTCTGTAAAAGTAACAAATATATTTAAACTTTCAATAGTTAGTGCACATATTCAAATAGTTCTTAAATTTACAATCAGATGTCAAACATCTAGAGCAGTGGTTCTCAACCTTTTACCTAATTGTGCCATCTAAACAAAAACTGAAAACCTTTAGTATCACCACTACAAAGTATTACTAAACCTGTTTGGACTGCCTTCATTTATTATCCTGTCTGCACCCATGTTATGACTGGATACCAGAAAGCCAGGAAAGTCTCTGCTTTCCATCCTGGCATCAACCAAAGACAAAACAAATGCATATTCTTTCTCTAAAGATGTTTATCAACTAATGATATTGACTGAAGGGAAAAAGGGAATGTTAAAAAATATATATTTTAAAGTAAGAAATTCTTTAATTTTTGGGGTGCAGACATTGTGTGGGTCACTTTTTTTAACATAAATTTTATCTGAAAAGTTTGGGTGCAGGCATTACATGAGTGTATACGTTAAATTTTCTTTAAAATTTGAAAAGAGAGACTGCTTAGATAGTATTATGATGTCCAATAACCATTGATAATATTCCTGTTTAACCCCTTCGCACCGACCGTCACGTATACGTGCCAGCAACGAACACACTTACCTACCGGCCGACACGCAGGCGTGCCAGAGCATTGTTGCATTCTCTACCGACTGTCACGTATTTGTGCCAGTAGTTTGGAACGTTTTTCAAACTATAATTTCTGCCATAAGATGGCACTGTATGTCCATATGGTTTCAGATACATGTAAATTAGACCTTCTACTCGAAATGAGAGAAGCATGACTCACATACATGTGTTTTTGATTATATAAACAAACGGGGAACTAAATGTTTCCGAATGGCATGATTTATGACGTCTCTTTAAATCGCACTTTATTCGCACGTGGTAGTTGTTTATTGTAAGTAGAAGTTTTATATGCGCTAGAGCGTTGAGTATTTCGGTTTACAGTTCAGTTTTTAGAAAATAATTAGATCTTGTTAGACGTGAATTCTTTGTTTTTACCGTTTCAATGTTATGTAAGACTTCTAAATAATAAAAATGAATTGAATTTTTCAATTTTATTTGAAATAAAAATTTTATGTTTGATATTTTTGGAATTTTGTGTGGATGATGTAATGAATGACGTCGCATTATTTTAAAAGTAATTGGTTTTAATATCTATAATTTAATCTAATGTTTTAAACATTATTTATTGATATTAAATATCAAAACAATTATTTTGCATTTTTTTAATATGATTTTATTATGAATGATTTTAAATAATTTTAATTCTATACGTGATGTAATCAGCTCCCTGATTGGTTACTGAATATTTGTGCATTACTGCGCCATTTTAAAATTTTATTATTCATGTCTTCGAATTCCTTAGATTTCAAAGCAAATGGATATGTCCGTTTCGAAGATGAACGTTGTTATTGGTAATTACCAAGAATTATTGGTATCGGAATAAAAAAATTGCCGTTTGAGACCTTATTTTGGCCAACCTGGCTTTCCTAATCAAAGATTTATTTATTATTACAAGGGCCAGAGGAAATTTATCTTTAATTTTTGGAGGAAACCTCGTTAATTGTTTCTTCAATGAAGTGCGAGAAATGTGGATCACAGATGAAGATCTTTTTTTTTTTTTTTTTTTTTTTTTTTTTTTTTTTTTTTTCTGGTACTTATCAATATACGACAGGTAAAATACTTTAAAAAAATGTAAGTACATATTTTCTTTTTACTTTATAATTGTATACTTCAATTTTTATTAAAAAATTAATACATGTTTTCAAAAATTCCTGAGATATTGAATGCCACATATGTTTAATGTTAAATAATTATATCCTATAAAACTTATTTTAAAGGATTTGAATTTAAGTAATCGAAAATTTTTAATTCTTTTAATCGTTGGTATGATGTTTTGAATTCAATATTCAATTTAAGTAATATTTTATTCCAATTAAATGTTGGCACAATGCTTTTATAGAGGTGTTTTTATTCTATTATATGAAAGTAGTAATTTAACCTTGCTTTAGCATTTTATATTCTTAGTAAATGTATTTACAGTCAAAAGTCGTTAATTTGGACACCCATAATCCGGAATGATCTATAATCCGGACCTCAAAGCTAACAAACTTTCTGCGCATGCGCCGCGTTGGCACATGCGCACAGGCGTTTTACGCGTGCGCGTAAGACCTTGACTACTGCGCATATGCGTGTGCACAAGTGCAGAATACGTTTTTGCCTGCGCGTTTAATGTATAACGGACGGTGTAAGCTAAAATTATCTAATTATCTATTTCAGTTAATGTTGATGATTGCGTTGTTCCTTAATCTTCAAATTGGATCCGGCTTATTATTTTTTTGCAGACTGTAAGAGCAATTTTATAAAAGTAAACTTGAACTTTCGATTATGTCAAATCGAATTTCCGATGCTGGAACTTCCAAAGGATCTACAAAACGAAAGTATGTTTCGATGTCCAAATCAAACAAAAAGTGGAAATTGCTGCAAAAAATGGCTAAAGACATGAAGAATGTGCACAGAGAGGTTAGTGAAAACGAAAAATTTCGATTGACAAGTTAGTCGGTATTCTCGGCACAGCAATTAACGGGACTTGAAACAGCGGAACTTTGTAACTGAACAAGAAATTATGTCTTTTTATAGAATTAAAGAGAAAGTATTATCACATAAATGAAGCAAGCAACTTAAACAACTTACATTGAAAGAAATGTTTAATAAAGTAAACAAATAAATATTAAGCTTTTTTTTTTTTTTTTTTTTTTTTTTTTTTGTAAATTTTGATACCCTTTAGATCATAATTGTTCTTTATTTCATAAATTATGGTTTCATATTTTTAATTTTAGAATTTCTGCATGCCATCTTACGAGATTTAAACTGATGATCTATAATCCGGAAAAATCGATAATCCGGAATCGCCGAAGTCCCGACGAGTCCGGATTAACGACTTTTGACTGTATTTACATTTGCCAGCCACCTTAAAAAACAACGTTTTCAACAAAAAATTAATCCATTATTTTGAACGATATTTATTTTTTTAACCCCTTCGCGCCGACTGTCAGGTATAGGTGCCAGCAACGAACGCACTTACCTACCGGCCGACCCGCAGGCGTGCCAGAGGATTGTTCCGTTCTCTACCGACTGTCACGTATTTGTGCCAGTACTTGGAACGTTTTTCAAACTATAATTTCTGCCACAAGATGGCACTGTATGTCCATATGGTTTCAGATACATATAAATTAGACCTTTACTCAAAATGAGAGAGATGAACTCACAACTTGTTTTTGAATGACTCACATACGCGTGTTTTTGATTATATAAACAAACGGGGAAATAAATGTTTCCGAATGGCGTGATTTATGACGTCTCTTTAAATCGCACTTTATTCGCACGTGGTAGTTGTTTACTGTAAGTAGAGAAGTTTTATTTGCTCTAAAGCGTTGGGTGTTTCGGTTTGCAGTTCAGTTTTTAGAAAATAATTAGATCTTGTTAGACGTGAATTCTTGTTTTTACCGTTGCAATGTCGAAGCGTCGAAAATGTTTAACAGAGCATGAAATAGCAGAAATGATGCAAAAATTTTCAGATTTGATTATGATATTCTGATATTGATTCTGAAAGATTAACTGAAAGACATTTCCCAAAACTTTGTTCAGAAGAGACTGATAAGAAAATGAGACGACGATGCTTCGTTTGTTCACATTCCTGGAAAAATCCTCCAAAACGGCAAATGAGTTATTACGAGTGCAAGGAATGTAACGTAGGACTGTGTGTACATCCCTGTTTTCAAATATTTCATACGAAAAGAGAATTTTAAGTAATATATTTAGTTTTCAGATGTATAATGTTAAAATTCATAAAATTGTGAGTAATTAAAATAAAATGTGTAAAATATGCATTTAAACAAGAAATAAGGTAATTAAAGTATATATATAAAAATATTATAAAGCAAAGCCGTTTAAATACTCTATAGGCATTTTTAAACAATGTGGATACTTAAATTTCGTAAGGCTTTACAATAAACCCCCGGTGGAGACGCTCGCG